TAATATACTGAAATGTACAGTGATAATGAATTTAATTTATTTTGATGAAAGCTTTTATTTTTATTTTAGTTCACTCAAAAGTGAACTAAAGTATTTATTTTATTTTTTACTAAAATGTTTTCTTTTGCATATTCAATATTATTAAAAAAGATAAAAAATATAGTATTTATTGCACTGAAACGTTTTACTTTTAATAACATTTAATGAAAAATTCAGTTAAATTTATGTTCGAAAGTTTTAAAAATTATGTATTTATTGTTTGATTTTAATTAATACTCAAACAATTTAACGCTAATTGTTGGCAAAGCTAAAACTGCTAAATAAAAACGTGTAATATATTAAAGTGTACTTAATCAAACGTTTTTCACTGTATATTCATGAATTCATTTTATTTTTTCACTCCCACATTATTGGTTTTGGTCCATAATTGGACTAGTATTTTTTTGTCTATTTTTAACTAGTATGAGACTGGTATATTTCTGACCGAAATTTGACAGTTGTCATCTCGTAGGACATCCCCATGTTAAAAATACCAGTTGATTGCATGGAAAATAGGTAGTTGGCTGACTAGTTGGGCATGTGGTACATAGTAGTTGTGAGGTAATTTACAACTAGTACATTTTACTATAGGGTATGTCTGACGGAGTTCGAATATGGGACCACCTACAGTAGAAAATTTAAACAGACATGAAACGCAATAAAATATCTAAAGTAAATTATAAAGGAAAAAAAGATTATTTTTCTTATTGATATTTTATGTCCAAAAATAGTCACTTACAAGTTAGTTGACATTTAATGCAGAGATAACCACCCTTGACTATTTCGCGGTCATCGCCATAGAAATATACATAGCTAGCTTTTCACAAAAAAAATATACAGATAATAGTGACCTTTAGTTCCTTCCTAATTAACTTCAAGTCAACTTATTGTTAAATATATACATTTCCCGCAGGCTAAATACGTACTCAAATTGTTACTTCAATGAGTTTAAAGAAAGTCAAACAATATTCTTGAAAACTTCTACCAGAAAGTAAAATTCACAGGAGAAAAAACTTGTAAATTACCAATTCCACGTAAAAATTAGGTTTGTACTAACAAAAATCGCGTGAAAGTGTATGTTAAAAAAGTACAAAAAGTCGAAATAACGAAATTATGAGTATCAAGCGTGATAAAATCTTGTTCACGTGCGCTTTCCCATTAAAAGTGTAACAAAACCTAAGACAGCAACAAGGAAATGTTGTGTAAAACAAAACTTAAATTACAATTTCGCTGGCAATTAAATGACACATATGCTTCCAACACCAACGTACTGAAAATAAACTTGTGCCATTACTGCAAACATTTCTTGTATTCAACTTAATGCCACTCCTCCACCGGTCCCTCTCCAGCCTTCCGTTTACAATGTAAACAAGTCATTTATGCTCGCGCGATAATTACAGTCCAACTTGGAGTGTCAGTCTACGCTTATCTGCGACTACACACGTCCATGGCAATGACAGTGGCTCGTGTTGGCTGCCCATTTGGAGGCGTTAACTTGCATTTTCATTGTCACTTTTTAATTTGCCACTCACATGCACAAACACACATACAGACACTCAGTTATGTTGCGCACGCTTACTTTACAAACATTCAACCGGTTTGCTAATCTCGTTTTCTTTACTTTTTTTGGTATTTTGTCTGATCACTCCGTTGCAGGCTGTCACCATAATGGTACTTGGTATGCAGACAGATCGCTCGTGCCCACCGTGGAGAAGTGTCTCACATGCCAGTGCCAGAAGAAGACGCTCGTCTGCAGACTGAAGGTATGTCCCGAAATGCCAATGCCACCGCCTAGAGGCTGCATTGTGGTGCAACAGCGGAACGCCTGTTGTCCGTATCTGTCGTGTGCGCGTCTCGATGCATTCTACAAGATACCGGCAACGCGTCGCATAATCGCTTACTTGGATCACTACGAACGGGAGTCCATTGATCGCGTCGTTAATGATAATATGCTGCAGCGGCGCTCCGACGATTCTGAGGTGGATATGTATGGTGAGTAAATACTGAAGATAAATGTACATACGTACATACTTTGAAGTGGCTACAAAATATCGAGCCCTAACCGCCAAAATAACGTAAGCGACATTTTTTTCAAAATTTTCTTTTTGATGCAGAAATATTCCTAGAGCATCTAGATGCATTTCTGCATCAAAAATAAAATTTCGAAAAAAATGTCGCTTACGTTATTTTGGCGGTTAGGGCTCGATATCATTGATTTTTGGTAATTTGTTTTGTTATCTGTGTCACTCATTTTCTTCGACAATGTTTTTATACATATGTATGTAGGAAAAGACACAACACCGTAAAAAAAAAATTTGTTATACAATGAATTAAATTTTCTATAAAAAAATAATTAAAGTTATGTAAATATAATAATTAGTCAGAAGGCTTTAATATGTATAGTTATGATAAACACTGTTACTGGTTGCAAAATTGTTGTTACCAGCGCAGCATAGACCTGTTAATTGTACCTTTAAGACTAATTTTGATCGGTGTTCTTCATTAGAAAAGTCAATGTAGTCATATTAAAAAAAAGTTTTGAAGTGAAACTTCTTTAGCGGCGGTTGGTTGGTTGGGAGGTTGGTGCAACGGAAATGGTTGGGGATGAAACAAGTGTATATGCATATGGTATTAGTTTAACAAAAATTTGCTAATAAAAGGTTAAAGAATAACACTTAGAAAAAGGCCAATACAAGAATGAAAGTAAAGGTGACTACGTACATAGATAAAGAAAAGTATAAAGGCAAAGGTCAAAGTAAAAGCAAAAATAAAGATGCGTAAAGATAAAGGCAAAAATGAAGACCAAGGTAAATTTAAACACTTTACTTATATGTATATACAAGGGCAAAGGTGAAGGGAAATATTTGGATACAGAAAATTATAAACATAAAAGTAAAAACAAAGATGAGGATGAGGATACCGATAAACGTAAAGACGAAGATAGTGGAAGAAAGATTAAAATAAAGGTAATTATAAAGGAAAGGATATAGAGAGAGACACGGAGACTCAATCTGGGAACTATTTTGGAATTTTATAAACTTTCGGGTTTCTCGAGACTTATCGATAAAATAATCGATATTTTTATAGGTTTTGTTATCGATATTTTTATAGATTTTGTTATCGATATTTATCGATTTTGTTATCGATATTTGTCGACTTTGTTATCGATTTTTATCGATTTTTTTGTCGACATTTAGCGATGTGTTCATAGATATTTACCGATTTTGATATCGGTATTTATCGATTTTGTTATCGATACTTATAGCTTTTGTTATAAATATTTATCGATTTTGTTAACAATATTTATCGATTCTTTTATTGATCTTTTTATCGATTTTCTAATCGATTTTGCTACCAGTAGTATTATCGATTGCTATGGATATTTTTTTCGAATTTGTTATCGCTATTTCTATCGGTTTTGTTAGCGATATTTTGTTGGACGTTATTATCGATTTTGTTATCGATAGAGTATAAAGATAAAAATGAAGATAATGGAAAAACGGAATAACATGAATATTTTTAAAACGAACAGGGGTAGAGTTAGGGATCTAGATAAAAAAGAGAAAAAATAACCTTAAGCAAAAGCAGATGCGTGTATGTATACATTGGTTATGAGACAAAATAAATAAGTAACGTACACATACATACATATGTATGTCAAAATAGACACAAAACGGCGATAGTTCTAGTAGAAAACTGCAAAACTCGTTAGAAATTATTGCTAGTAAATGGCGCTGGAAATTTCAGGACAAAAAAGGTCGACCGTGCTGAGTATATATTTTATAATAAAAGTAAAAGAGTTTCAGTTAGCTCTTACTTTTACTGATTTGAGCAAGGAACACTCATTGAAAATAAAAAAAAACGCTTAGAACTTTCAAACCTGTTAAATATTCCCTTGAATTGGCAGTTGTTGTCAGTTCAGTTTTGGGTGCACTGGAGTCATTTACGTATACATACATACATACATACATACATATGCATTTTAGTCGTTTGTCATTTAGTAGCTGACCATTTAGGATTACTTCTTAAAAGCTAAGCATTTAGGTTGAGTTTTGGAGACTTTACAACGAATTTAAAATGGAAAACCAAACAGTACATTTTCGCCATATTTTAATATGCCAAAAAATTACAGAGATGTTGCTTTAAAGAAATGCCAGTGCCAAAACTGATTCAAGAGATCCCACGATAGTAACATTGATATCAAAAGTGCTCTTCGTCCAAGAAGAATTAACGAGGTGGATGACGAAAAATTAAGAACCTTACCAAGTCAAACCCACGTTAGGCGATACAAAAGCAAAAGGCTTGGAAATTGAGCAATACCAACAAATCTATGATCGAGATATATTCGGAGCTTGTCAATTGCAAAGGAGGGAACACAACTTGCGCCAACGCGAAAGCATATCCAACTTTGGCGACCCCCTATTTGTTGTCACTCCCAGCATACTCAACTGCGCCGGCATACATAAGTAGTTCCACTTGTGTCACCCTCTTCGAAACTCCTTCAATGGTATAATGTTACATTCAGATGCGGCGGTCAATTACTACATACCTTTTTCAGTTGTTCACTAATAGAGACAAGTACTTCCACGAACGCGAAATTTTTAAGCTCTCCGAGAAACTTCAACAGCTCAACGAACAAAGCGGTGGATATCGACAGGTGAGTGGAAGATTGAACAATCTCGGCAGCCGGTTAGAAAACTCCCTATCTAAGAAAAATTTTCAAGAATGCCCTACTCCAGAAGTTTGTCTAAAAATGCCCTATATCAACTGAGAATATATTAAAAATATGTTGAAATACGACGTTCTTCAATAAAATCCTGAGATAGGGCATTCTTCAACCAATTTTTGAAAGAGGGCGTTTTTGAAAAGTTTTGCTGAGATAGGAAGTTTTTGAACCAGCTATCGATATAGGTTAATCTTCCACTCAGCCGTCGATATACATATTAAATGACATTTATTACATTAATTTGAAAAGCATACCCAAAAAACGCAGGCACTTTTTGCACACATTTTACTCTGTGAATCACTTTATTGTTTCGAAATCGGTATCCGAAACTGATAGTGATAGAATGAGAAAGTTTAATATGAAAATATACCTTTTGTCATTGAAGAAATAAAGTTCGTTTATACAGCCATTACAAAATTAATTCAAGTCGTTTCATAACTCGCGTCTGTTATTTTTTCAATTGCATCAGCCAAAGGTAGGCAGCTTTGCCATTACTTTAAGCTAATAAAACGATTTTCAGATGCATTGAGATACAATTAAGCGATAATTTAAGCCGACAGGAAATAAAAAAACCATCACCATCATCACCATCACCATCAAAATTGGAGACACACGTGACCTTTTTTAGCGATAGAAATTTTTGCTCATTTCAATGCTCTATAGAAATTCAGTATAAGAACCCTAATTGTATTTTCTCAAGAAGTAGAATAGATTCTCCGTTCTACTTTAAAATGAACACAGTTCTACGAAGGTGTCAGAGTCATCCACATTTACGATTTGTATAATATATACAATACTACTAAGATCACTTAGTTCACTTGTTTTTTGGAAAAAGTTTCACTGTTGCAATTTGCTTACTTTTATATGTTATGTAATACAATCTACTTCCTCTTCTCTACAATTCCTTTTTCACAGTTTGCGTTAAGAACGGCACCGTCTACAAATCCGGTTCAGCAATGTCATCGTCCAATCTATGTACCTACTGTTACTGCATTGGTAAGTGCGATGATTGCGACCACTTAAAAGGCATTCAATTTCTCGTTGCTGTCTCCTTCGATTACATCAAACACTTCTTCTTTTTATTTTCCTACTTTTCATTTCAGGTGGCACTGAGAAATGCGTCAAACCGAAATGCATGTTACCCGTTGAAGGCTGCAAACCCATATTTGTCGATTCCACTTGCTGTCCGGTGCGCTATGATTGCACCAGCAAGCCGTCTGGCAAATCGTCACAAGAGGTACGCTACCGCAAGACGTCAAACAAGCATTACCTTCGCATGTCGCAGCGACTGCAGCGCAATCGCGGCTGTACAGTGGATAAACAGTTCTACGTGGAAGGACAGAAAATGCGCTCAGATCCCGACAAACCGTGTGACATTTGCTTCTGCATACGTGGTACGCGCCGTTGTGCGCCAAAGAAGTGCTCGCCAGCGTTGAAGAATTGCATACCGGTGGTCCCGAAGGGGCAGTGTTGTCCATCCAGTTACGATTGTGGCAGTCAGCGCGCACAAAGCTCACGTCAATTCAACTTATTCTCATTGCTCTTCGGCAAAGAGGATGAGGCGAATAGCACAAACAGAATACCGGTTGAGTATCCACCGGATAGGCACCCGTCAGTTACAGTGACACATAATCAAAATATATTGGAGAAGAACGATGAGAAGAGCATTTTGGACACTATACGCGAGGGTTTGGAAATCATCGATGGAAATAATGATGAAGTCATTGCAGAGAATATAGACAAATTGGCGGCGCCTTTGACGAAAGTAGTTACTGAACCTGAGATAAGTACGCAAGCATCTACAGCGGAAAAGAAGCCTACGGAAGTGAGTTTACTAGATCTATTATTGGGCACTGACGACGAGACACCATCAAAAGTGACTGAGGAAGTTCCGCCCGAGTTGAAAACAACTACGGCTTATGAAGGCCTATCTTGGGTGGATATTTTGCTAGGCCCAGATGAAAACGAGAAGAAATCAGTGAAAACCACAACTGGGGAGAGAATAGGTACAACAACGAGCTATCTGCAAGAGTCCACTATGCCCAGTATTGATCGTATTGATCACGACTTTGAGGATTTTTCAGGTAATGGAGAAATTATTGTGGGCGACCCGCAATCGAGTGAACCGTTCGAGAATCCACTTGCCGAAGATCTTGTACGAAACAAAAATAGCACTGATGGCAAGGCTCAAGTGGTCTCACACAAGCAGGAATTGAGCAATAATTTGGAAAATAATGACATCAAAAACGATCAAGCTTTAAGAGAAGTTCAACAGACAGTATTGAGCACTACCGCAAAGACAACGATCGCGACAACCAAAAAGCCGCAAACGACTGTGACACCTTTGCGGACAACAACAACCGGTAGAACAACACATAGTCCGAGCTCGAAAGCCACCACAAGGCCTAGTACAAAAACCACTCAAAGCACAACCGCATCTAGGCCAAAGCCCACCCGAAAGCCAATCGAGCTGAAGTTTGTACCTAAATCCACATACAAACCCAACGATAAACTTCACAAAACCACCACTGCCCGACCACACAACACGACGCAGGCAGCAACGAGAGTTCCGCCGGAAAAGAAGAAAAACGGTCTACTGACTGCACTTTTGGATGGCCTCACAGACATGCTCAGCGCGGAAAAAGTCTTAAATGGCACACAAGTTAAAACTCCCGCAAAAACAAATGTTAATACTACAAGCACAACACCGAAACCATCAAAGGTGCCGATAGCAGTACCGAGTTCTGAATCAAAGCCAATGCCTTCATTCAAACCGCTGCCTACGGGCAAACCTACGCATACGCGCATCAATTCGAAGATCGCGAATCTTACCGTGACGCCTGAAGTAATAAAAAAATCAAGTGTTGCACCAAATTTATCAGCTTTCAAACCATTACCGGCGCAAGGCATCAAAGTACCGATATCGGTGACGACTAGTAGAACACCTACAACCACCAAGGAGCCAAAATCTGTGGACAATACAAATGCCACTACCGCTAAAACTTCAACGATAACGACAACCACGACAACGCCCAAACCAAGCTCCACCACTAGAACAACAACAACGACGACGACAACAACAACGACCGGTGGAAGCACTATTATTCCTCCTAGCACTACACCTAAACCAGTGGAGATCAAAACAAATCCAACTATCTTAGAGGCAGACCCTTTTGATGCCAACGCCGAACCAACATTGCCACCCAGTCTACCAAATCTGAAAATTATTCCCTTCCTACCCACTGATGCCGTTAAAGCTGATAGAAATAAGCCTCCCTACGATTACTACCACAGTAATGCTCCGACAGCCAAAATCGATTACGATCAATATGATGAAGGGAATAGGTATCCAGCCATCACGGAGCCACATTTCCCCATTTATCCGGAAATCGAGGATGGTAGCAAGGCTGAGTATATCTACAAATTCAACGTGGAAGGACCACTGCCACCAGTAATGTCGTCAACTGCAGGTAAGTTGGATGGCTCAAGCAGTGCAGCAGCTTCCTTCGTGAAGTACGATTTTGTTGGAGCAAACGTGGAACATAAAGGCTTTTCACCACCCACAAAAACTGAAGGCGGTTTTGTGCCCAAGAATCCACTCGTGCTGAATGATGATGAAGAGCAAGGTGGTGCGCTGCCCTACGTTGACGGTGGCTACCAAGTAACGAAACATCTGATTGATATAACTACAAGTGATCCGGCCAGAGAGAACACAACAAAAGTAATTGGTAAGTACCTTAGTATATGAAGATGCAAATAGAATTACTTAAGTGCTTTATTTATTATTTAAATTTTACTTTATACTTATTTGTATCGCAGAAATAACCACGCCTGATCCATTTAAGGATGTCATAAGAACTGAGCCGCCACCCGATTTGACTTCTCTTATAGAAGATAAGGCCAACATATTGCTACAAAATCCACTACAACAGCCTATGAAATTGTATGAAGATCCAGAGAATCTGAGTCAATCGCTGATACATATTACGACAGCAGCACCGCAGTTTGCGAATGCCGCAAATGATGCCCATCCACCTAGTGTGCCGTTCCTGGCAGCAAATGTGGAGCACGCAATGAGGAATAGTTCCAAACTGCCCACCGAAGAACACAAGAATACCATTGCGTCTTTCTTAGACTTACTGCTGGGTGGCGAGGAAGTATTGTCTTCACCTTTCCCAGCCGATAATGCGGCCATAAGCAGCAGTACTGTTCCACCATTTAAAACATTGCCGCAAGCAGCGGTTGAGCTAATACCAAATATTACCAGCACATTCACAGTCACAATGCCTACAACAGCAACCGCTGCTCCGTCAAAACACTTACAAAAAACAACCGCAAAGCCCAACTCTACTACGATTAATTTAAGCTCCCCGGACACAGTGTCTGCCGCGCCCTTTAAATTAAATGCGAATGCATCTGTTGCCGCCGCTTCAACTGTCTCCACCACAAGAACAAAGACTAGAACGAAGTCGCCCGTGTTGCATAGAAATAATACAGCTGCAGCCACATCTGTTGCAACAAGAATAGCATCGACAACGCGACCAAAAAGTACTCGGCCCAAATCAAGTTCGTCACGGCGACAGACCACTAAAGCTTCAAATATAGCCACGACGTCAATCCAAAAGCGCGCAAACATCACAACAACCATGCGTCATCCCACAACAACAACCACAACCCAACCAAAACCGAAGCCTTTGCTGCGTTCACCTTTCGATACGCTGCCCTTCATGGACACCAGCTTCGAAGTGAAGCGCACCACCGAACGTACATTTGTCGTTGGCCAATATGCTGATGGCGACTTCCTAGGCTTGCTGCATTACAAAAACTCACTCAATCAGTTCGAGGGACTTGAGCCGGCACGCGAAAGTTTTCCCCACAGCACACTAGCTCCCAGCAGTAGCAGCAGCAACACAATGCCGCCAACAGCGGCGCCTACCAGTGTACCGCTGGTGCAACGAAACATCGAACAAATTATTTCAGCGGCGCCACAGTCGTTAGATGCGCCTGCAGCGTCAACGCCGCTTGAGGCGCAACAGAGCGCATCCAACAATCTAATTGACCCGGCGGGTGTGCTCAAGTTGGCTGGCTGTAATATCTACGGGCGCATGTACCGGGTCGGTCGTATTATATTGGAGCTGTCCAGCCCTTGTTTGGAGTGCAAATGCACTGAGGTGGGCGTCAAGTGTGGTCAATTGGACTGTTAATTATTTTTGTAGGCGGGAGTAGTGTATGTACTATGTAGTACGA